CTCCACCATAGAGTCTCCTCCCCGCGTGGCGTCCTTTTTCCTCTCCTGATAGGAAGTCCGGTTCCTCCACCATAGAGTCTCCTCCCCGCGTGGCGTCCTTTTTCCTCTCCTGATAGGAAGTCCGGTTCCCCCACCATAGAGTCTCCTCCCCGCGTGGCGTCCTTTTTCCTCTCCTGATAGGAAGTCCGGTTCCCCCACCATAGAGTCTCCTCCCCGCGTGGCGTCCTTTTTCCTCTGCTGATAGGAAGTCCGGTTCCCCCACCATAGAGTCTCCTCCCCGCGTGGCTTCCTTTTTCCTCTGCTGATAGGAAGTCCGGTTCCCCCACCATAGAGTCTCCTCCTAGCCCAGCATCCTTTTTCCTCTGCCTCTCCTAACCGAAAGCCCTATCCATTGTGGAGCTGACCGGTGACAGGGAGCCGCAGCAGAGGGATAAAAAAGCCACATGCGGCTCCAGAGCCGCAGGTTGCTGACCCCTGTACTAGCAGAATGAACCCCATATAAACTACTTGGACTTCTGAATCAATGAGCCTTTGTACCAAACCAAATATACTATGATGCAAATTACTGCAAAGAGTTTCAATTACTGGGCAGATTCAAACTGCGTATCCACAAATACTGGGGTTACCTAGCTAATTTTGACACCATGGCCTGAATGCTTTATTGGAAACCTGTTAACAAAATGCATCTTGTCAGACTGATTCATATTGCAGACAAGTTTTTACATTCTTCACTGCATTGTGAAAAACTCCCTGCCTGCAGAGAGCTAACCCTTCAGTGATAAATTTGCACCAAACTTTTCTCAGTGTCTTCTTTAAGTAAAAAGTGGGTTTAAAAAAAAAGAAAGAATCTGCCTTTTCTTATAGAATTAATCCTGGAAGGTTTTTTTTTTGTACAGACATGCTCGTGGCGGGTTGCAGGGGACAACAGAAATGTTTAAGAAAGCGAACAGAATTAAACGCAGCAATGTTGCAGAGACACAAATAGAAGTAAAAGAGTTCCTTTGCGATCTGTTCAGACAGTAGATGTCTCCCTTTGCTTGCGGCTGCGTGTGTGATGCACTTCGCCACGCACACCAGGCAAACATCAACAACAGCCAGTGTGAATTATTTTCCTTTTCCAGGCTAACGTTCCCATCATGCTTTGCAGAAAACCCACAAGGGAGAGGAGATAATGTGGAGTACAAGCACCGCAGACAGAGCATCATGAAAGCAACAAATTATAACCTTCACTAAAAAGCAACACACACACACACACAATCAACCTTCGGTTAACAGGATCACAAGCCCAGGTTTTGAGCTGACAGCTTGCTGCTTGCCAGCAGATTCAAGAGAATCCTTGGCATGACTTAAGTGATTCCTTTCAATCGAAAGATTCTCGTGACAACCTCAAGAGCGACCAAATGGATTACAGGGGACAAATGGGGAAGAGATGCAGCTTTCGGAAGAATGCAGCCAAGATAATAGAGTTACTGTACCGTTAGCGGAGCAAAATGCAAAGGGGAATTGCCGTGAAAAGAGAAGCGACGTAGCTGTAAACCTTGGAGGACTCTTGCACATTGTGAAACTTGGCAGAACTTGGATATATATATTTTTTTCCCCGTGGCGGCTCTAGTCCTTGAACAATGAGGCTAAAACCCATGTGGGTAAGAGTCAGCGGTGTAGTAGCAAAACGAGGGGGGGGAAAACACCCAACCCCAAAACAAAACCCCTTATCTAATCACATTGCATGAAAAATCAGGAGGAACAAAAGCGCCACGGACTGGTTTCTCCCAACCCTGGAGAGATATTAAGGATGAATGAAAATGCTGGTGGGTTGGAACGGAATGCAAAAACCTTCGGAACCATTGTTTTCCTGGAGCGAAAGCATCCTCTCCGTCTGCAAAACTCTCTGCGAGTAGAAAAAAAAAATACGCCCTGCATTTAAATAAAACGATTTGCATGAGGGCAAAACGTTTTGTTCTGTTTGCCTAAGCACACAAAGCTGTTCGCATTATTGGGTGCATAATCTGGCATCCATGAAAGAAAGAAAGAAAGAAAGAAAGAGGAAGAATAGATTTAGAATCTCTTAAGGCCACAAAAGACAGACAGTTTAGTTTTAAGAGTTAAAATGCTGAACTAGGAGACCATGAATTCTAGTCCCACTTTAGGCATAAGGCCAGCTGGATAACCTTGGGCCAACCCATCCCTCTCTCTTAGCCCAAGGAAGAAGAGTAAGGATACCATGGAGATAGAGAACGGTCGAAAAGAAAGGAAAAGATAAAACTTTCCCCTGCGCAGTTGTGTCGGACTTTTGTAGCCTTANGAAGAAGAGAGGAATTGGTAAGGAAGGAAAGGAGAGGAACTGAGAAGGAAGGAAGGAAGGAAGGAAGGAAGGAAGGAAGGAAGGAAGGAAGGAAGGAGGAAGGAAGAAAGAAGAGGGGAATTGCTAAGGAAGGAAAGGAGAGAAACTGAGAAGGAAAGAAAGGAAGGAAGAAGAGAGGAATTGCTAAGGAAGGAAAGGAGAGGAACTGAGAAGGAAAGAAGGAAGGAAGAAGAGAGGAATTGCTAAGGAAGGAAAGGAGAGGAACTGAGAAGGAAAGAAGGAAGAAGAGAGGAATTGCTAAGGAAGGAAAGGAGAGGAACTGAGAAGGAAGGAAGGAAAGAAGGAAGGAAGAAGAGAGGAATTGCTAAGGAAAGAAAGGAGAGGAACTGAGAAGGAAAGAAGGAAGAAGAAGAGAGGAATTGGTAAGGAAGGAAAGAAAAGGAGAGGAACTGGGAAGGAAGGAAGGAACGAAGGAACAGAGATAGATACTGATGGAGATGAGCTGGAAGGAAGGAACAGATACAGATGGAGATGAAAGGCAGGATGATAGATACATGGAGATGGAAGGAAGGATAGAAGGAAGGAAAGAATAGATAAACAGATGAAAAAGGAAGGAAGGGAGGGAGGGAGGGATAGCATCCTGGGACTTGACGTCCACCTACCTTAAAGTTGTTGAGGCTGAGATAGCGAGAGGGGGGAAGTAGACCAAGCAGTGATGTCCATTCTCCCCACCTGTTTTTCCTACCTTTCTCTTCTCCCATCTTCCTCTTCAGAGACAACAGACGGGCTCTTGCTTTCCACGCCTCTTCCTCTCTCCACCTGCCCAGGAGCCATGCAGTCTCCCAAAAAAAGCTTGATCTGCAACTTAAACCACGTCCACCTGCAACACATCTCCTTGGGCCTCCACCTCTCCAGGCGCCCAGAACTTCAAGAGGAGGAGGAGGCCAACACCTTGGGCCCGTCCAAGGAGCAAGTGGACTGCCACCAATGCGAGGAACATGGCAGTCACCTCATCCCCAGCCTGGTGGACGCCAACTCCAACAACCCATTGTTGACTTGCCGGTGTTGTGAGGCTCACCCGGTATCATCTGAGGTCAAGCAGGGCCTCCAGTCTCCATCTTCCTTGGCCAACTGCCCAACGGTCAACCATGAAGAAGAAGGGGAGGAAGAAGAAGAGGAGGAGGAGGACGAGGAGGAGGCATCTCCTTCAGACCCAACTTCTTCATCCATCAGCAGCTGCTCGGATCTCAGCTTGGATGAGTCTCCCGTCTCGGTCTACTGCAAGCCCTTCCCTGCTGAAGAGGCCCGGAGTCCAGAAAGCCAACCGAATATTGTCCCCTTGGAGGACACGCAAAACGTTCTGGTCCACCCCCAAGAGAGAGGTCCAAACCTTAATGTCCCCCGAGTTGGACATCCTGAGGTCCATATCTGGGATAGTCCAGATAGTTTGTACAGCAGCAGCTCACCAGAATCTTCCTTTGACAGCTCTCCTCCTTGTCCGGAAGTCCTAGTTGGATCATCTCAGGTTGGGTCCATCAAAGTTCCTCCTCTTGTTCCGCCCCCTGTCCGCCCCTGCAGGGCACCTCCCGCAGTGCCGGTGGTGCCCCCTCGTGGGGCGGAAGTAGATTCCAACTGCAACGCGCTCCCTGCTCGCGAGGTCAAGTCCAACAGCGTCGCCTTGGTCCAAGTGGACATCAACTCCAACCGAGCCCCGCCGGCGAGGTCTCGTTTTGGAGGCGTGCCTCCTCCGATCCCCCCTCGGACCAAGAGGGGTCTTCAGGGGTTGAGAAGAAGTGAAGAGGGGAAGCTCACTCCAGAAGTGGTCCCTCCTGAAGCTGTGGAGCACCCGTTCCACCGCGGTGAACCACAAGGAGAAACATCTAAGAAGGTCATCACCTCCTTCCATGAGTTGGCTCAGAAGAGGAAGAAGATGGCGTCCGCGCCGCCCGTTCTCCACACCAAGAAGGACCAAAGTGATTGGCTGATCATCTTTTCTCCCGACACAGAGATGCCTCCGTCTCACGAACTCTCCTGGGGAGCCGGACAGGAGACCACCAAGCCGCCTACTTGTCCGCCCAAGGAGCCTTCTCCTCCTCCTCCCCTCGGTGTCCAACGAGGGATCATCACCTTCAAGGACCTCCGTCATCGGAAGCAGAGCAGCCAACTGGCCACCAAGGCGGGCAACCCGAGCCATCACCGGGGGCATCCTGGTCAAGGAGTCCCCGACGGTCGCGCCGGGCAAGAGATGAGCGACTCGGAACCGGGGGCCAATGGACACTTGTGGGGGGCGAAGGAAATCCCACCCCGGATGAAGAGGTCCCGTCCGGGGCTACAGCCGATTGTGGAAGGAGGTTCTGACGATGGAGAAGATATAGGAGTCAAGCCGAAACAGCTTGGGAGACCCTTGGAGACTCAACCTCAGGAGAGGTGGGATCTTGACGTCTGCGGGAAGGCAGAGGCGGCGGACAGGAAGGTCCCTAAGGGTAAGATGCTGCTCCTTTTCTTGACTGACAGACCGTCGCTCAATAGATGAAATGATTAGGATCAGGAGGTTGTGAGTTGGATCCTAGGTAGAGTCACGATGAGAATAATTCTGCTGAACAAAACTCCTCATTGGCAACAAGAAAGGCAATGGGCCAGTAAAACACTCTGCTAGATTCATTCAGTTGCCCAGACTACACCCTGCAAAGGATTATGACATCGTTAAACGAGGATGATAATAAGCAAGGATTCTGATCTCAATAGACACAGCTCTAGGCAGGTAGTCCGCGACTTATGACCACACTCGAGACCAAACTTTCCATTGCAAAACGAGACCACTGTTAAGAGGAGTTTTGCTTCAATTTACGACCTTGCTTGCCACAGTTATTGAAGGGAATCCCTGCAGTTCTTAAATCAGTCACACGCTGGTTCGGTGAATGGGGCTTCCCCGCGGACTTTACTTGCAACAGTCGTAAGTGTGAAAAACAGTTGCAAGTCGCTTTTTTTCCCAGTGCCGTTGTAACTTCGGTCACTAAGTAAACTGTCGTTAAGTCGAGGACTCCCTGTAAACAGAAGGAGATTTGAACGGCCACCTGAAAGGCATCCTTGCACCTCAGGAGGCTTAGAATACAAGAAGCGGAGCAAATTTTCCCTTTCTCACATCAGCACACAGCCATTTAACATCCGCGATAAGGATAATAAGGTTTCTAGTCCCTAAACTCTAATCCTGTCCAATCTCATTTTATCAACACTAATCAGTGTGCCGAGGTGGCGCAGTGGTTAAATGCAGCACTGCAGGCTATTTCAGCTGACTGCAGTTCTGCAGTTCGGCTGTTCAAATCTCACCGGCTCAGG